CTCTGTTTTGTAGCACCCATTAGGTGTAAGGGGTGGAGCCTTAGGTTTTCGCCAGGGTGGGGCAACCCAGGTTGCTGCGTTGTGACACTGTGTGTGGGGAAAAGGTCTGAGAGGGAACAATGCCTCTTGCTTGGCTCTTGGCTAGCTTTCAGTCACTTCTGTTACCCACAAGCAAATCAGGCCCTTCTGGTGCTGATTCCTGGGTGGGTGGGTTTGTGTATGCTCTAGGTCGCCGTGGATCTCTCCAAAGAATTTTCCTGTGAGGCTAGGAGTTTCTCCCACTGCCGCATCCCCCACAGAATTTTACAGCCAGAGGTTTTGAGGCTTTCTTTTCCCTGCACTGGAACCCTAGATTGTGTGGTCTGTCTCACTTCCCAGCTGTTCCTCCTGGTTTATCCACACGCAAATGTGGGACCACCTGGTCTGCCAGCTGCTGCCTGGCCCACCTGGTCCTCTAGCCGCTGACTTGCCAAGCGTCCTCTCCACCCTTGGTTGCCTGTCTCTGCCCCTCCTACCAGTTCGCATGAATGTTTCTTCATTAACTCCTTGGTTATTAGACTTCCATACACTTTGATTCTCTGGCAATTTTGCTCACTTTTTGTTTTTAAATTTGTTGTTCTTCTTTTGGTTGTGGGAGGAGGCAAAATATATCTACCTACACCTCCATCTTGGCCGGATATTGTAGTCTCTGTTCTGATAGCCCTACTCATTTGCCACACTCTTCAAAAAATTCAACTTATCCGCCCTGGCTGGTGTGGCTCAGTGGACTGAGTGCCAGCCTGCAAACCAAAGGGTCACCAATTTGATGTCCAGTCAGGGCGCATGCCTGGATTGCAGAACAGGTCCCCAGTAAGGGGCACGTGAGAGGCAACCACACATTGATGTTATTCTCCCTCTCTTTCTCCCTCCTTCTCTCTATAAAAATAGATAAATAAAATCTGAAAAATAAAATTCAAATTATCCAAAATTTATAAAGAACTTATAAAACTTAATACCAAAACAAACAAACAGACAAACAAACAATCCAATTAAAAAATGGGCAAAGAAACTGAATAGACACTTCTCCAAAGAGGACATACAGATGGCTAATAGACATATAAAAAGATGCTCAATGTAACTAGTCATCAGAGAAATGCAAATTAAAGTCACAGTGAGATATCACCTCACACACACTAGTCAGAATGGCTATGATCAATAAATCAGCAAACAAGAAGTGTTGTTGAGGATATGGAGAAAGGGGAAAACTTTTGCACAGTAGGTGGGAATGCAGATTTGTTCAGCCACTGCAGAAAGCAGTATGGAGATACCTAAAAAAATTAAAGATGGAACTGCCTTATGACCCAGTGATTCCACTTCTGGGAATACATAGGAATGAACCTGAAACACTAATTCAAAAGAAAAAGCATCCCTATTTCACTGCTGCATTATTTACAATCACTGAGATACAGAAGCAGCCCAAGTGTCCACCGATATATGAGTGGATAAAACATCTATGGGACATTTACACAATGGGATACTACTTGACCTTAAAAAAGAAGAAAATTTTACCCTTTGTGACAGCATAGATGGACCTAGAGAACATTATGCTAAGTGAAATAAGCCAGTCAGAGAAAAACAAATACCATATGATTTCACTCATATGTAAAATCTAATGAACAAACTGAACTAACATGCAAAATAGAGACAGACTCTTCGAGAACAGAATGACAGCTAAGTGGGGTGGTAGGTTAGGGGGTGGAGGGATTGAGCAAAAAGGAAAAAGGACTCATGGACAAGGACAACAGTGTGGTGATTGTGGGAGTATATAAGGGGGATAAATGGTAATGGGAAAAACACAATAAAAATTGTTTTAATTGGCATTTTCCTGACCAACAGCAAGGCTGAGCTAATTTCATCTGTTCCTTGGCCATATAGAAATTTCTTTTCTAAATTGATTGTGCAAATATTTGTCCATATTTCTAATGCATTGTTTAGTTTTCTTACTAATGTTTAGGAACAGTCCATACAATAGAATATAGCCAAATGCTTATCTTGCCTTTTAAATGTTTATAGTTTCCTTTACCATTAAGAAGTTTTAAAGTTTAATGTTGTCAAATTTTCAATCTTTTCCTTAAAAAATTCCAAATTAGATCACATCACTTTCAGGCTTAAATTCTTCTAAATGGCTTCATATTGCCTTAAGAGATAATACCTTAGCATGGCAGGCAAGGTCATTTGTATCTGGTTACTGTTTACCTCTTTAGTCACATAGTTCTTTGTGATTAAAGGTCCTTGGAAAGACCTTTCTCATCTTCTGTGGGATCTTACTCTTTTCCAAGATTCTTCATATTTACAGAGATATGCGAACCTTATGTCCCTCCCCAGAAGAAATGACTGTCAGTGTATGAGTAGCTCCCTGTGCATTCTCCTGGCCCAGATTTTATCATGTGCTTTCCCCTCTGATTTGAAAGCCCTAGAAAACAAAACATTGTTTTTTTCACCTGTCAACCTCAGAGCCTATCATAGGGTCTGGCCCGAGTACACACTCAGCATACATTATTGAGTCAAAGAACAAGTGAATGTTGAAATCACCTTAACCAATGGTAGGAGTTGGGGTGGAGGACTGCGAGTCAGAGGCCAAAGTCCTGGATGAATGTGAGTTTAATAGCTATGTTTTAGAGGGCCCAGCAATCAACATCCTCTTTCAGAGAAACTGCCTTGGCTACCAGTCAGCTGTCTGGCAGCCCCTGTTCCTATCCCCATTCCTGTACAAATGATTTGAGCTATCTACCCCACATTCAGGTTTTCCAGGGGTGTGTGTGACTTGTCATGAAAAGATGAGCTGTGTTGATTAGATTTTCTCCTGGGGTCTGGAAATTGAGAGACAGATTAAAGTGATAAACTCCAGAAGATTGGGTTAAAAGGATACATCAGGAATTGTCAAGAAATAAATAACAGAAGTTGCAGAGTGGCCCTGAAACTTATTTTTATGACCTGTGACACTTTGGGATTCCTACACTAACCCGCTCTTAATTGTTCTTTTTGTATTGCTTTTTACAGAGAGAGAGAGAGAGAGAGAGAGAGAGAGAGAGAGAGAGAGAGATCAATTTGTTGTTCCACTATTTATGCATTCATTGGTTTCTTCTTGTATATGCTCTGACTGGAGATGGAACCCAAAATCTTGGTGTATCAGGCCAACACTCTAACCAACTGAGGTACCTGGTCAGGGTTCTTAATATTTCTCAATTTAGGACATATCTTACCATTGACACCCTGTAAAGCTTGCTTTACCATGGGGCAGAGACAAAAAGTTGTAAAATTGCTATCATTAAATGGGTATATGTAAATTTAGACATCCACAGAAAAAGTGTTTATTTGCTATTTACCTTAGTTATGTATATTGATGGTGTCATGCAGTTTAATTTTAATCTTAATCCCCAAGTGTCACTTTAGGCATTTTCCAAAAGGTTATATTGTGATAAAACAGTAAGTTATTGTATATACAGAGTAGTTGTTATGCATGAGGAATTCAATTAAACGTGGAAATGGCCAACTTTATTTCTAAATTTGATATAGAAGTTACACATCTAGAAGAGGCTGGCTTGATCAAGTGAAGTGTTTGAGGACCCTTAACATTTGAGTGTTAAAGCTTTCTAGTTATCAAGAGAAGCTGTGTAGACTCCAGGAGTATGAATAAAGAGAAACCAAATTTATAACCCAAGACGACACATTGCTAAAGCTTGTATATTCTTTGAAATGTCTCAAAATTGTATTGTTAATTACTAAAAGTGCTAAAAAGATCAAATAATAACCATAGGTTATGAAAAGCAACAAGCCATTATGCTATAGTTAGCTAGATGGTCAAAGGGTTGGTTATACGAGACTCTAGGCAGCAGAGGTGAGAAGGCTTAAGCTTAACTACTGATTACCACACTAAAGAAAAAAGTGGTACAATTATAGTGATAGTTAACATTTAATGAATGATTACTATGTGACACTGTGTTAAGAACCTTTAGAGGTTCTATTTCAGCCTCAGAACAATTCTATTAGATTAATGGTGTTATACTCGTTTTACAATAAGAAAGCTAGGAGGTAACTCCAGGGTGTTTCCCTTCCGGCTCTCTCTCAGAGCCACGGATGCCTGTGTGCATTTTTATGACTATGCTTATGCTTTTTAGGTTGGGTTTAAAAAGTATACATTTAAATATCCATGGTGCAGGCGCTGCAAGTTGGAGGGAGTGTGATTTTCAGAACTGTATCATCTTAGAACTGGCGAAGGCTACTGAGAAAGGTATTAGTAAGAAGGAATGTTTTCTGTGGTTTTGAGAAAACATGCGTTTCATGCGGTTCCTCCGCATGAAACGCCCTACCTCTCATACCTGTCTGAATCCTTCTGATCTTTCGATGCTCACCCTAAATGCCAGCTCCTTCAGGAAGTAGTCTCTGGTTATATAAAAACATATACATGGGAGAGATTTCTAAATTATTAAGCGATGAAGCCAATAACTGAAAGACGGATTTTATCATTAACTTTTACCCTCGCTCCTTTCCTGGCTGTAGTTTCTTTAAACTGAAAGGAAACGGTGGCTTGGCCTATCTCTTCCTTTTATAATTTCTCCTAACCTCTTCAGATTTCTGCCAAAGCAGCCTTAAAGAATAACTCTCCTTGCTAAGACCTGCAGGAGGCGGCTTCCCCGCGTTGGCACTCAGAAGGGAGGGGCTGGAGAAGCAGAAGAGGCGGGGGCTCTCAGGGAAGCGGGGAGCGCAGACACGTGACTTCCTTCCCAAGGAGCCTCAGCGACCGGCCTCCCAGCAACCGGTGCGTTCCACCTGACGACGCCGGCGCATCCCGGTTGGCCCTCAGGAACGCACGTGGCTAAAAATGTATCTACGGTCGCTCTGCTCATTGGCTTGGGCTACTGTCGCTCAGATGCGTTGCCAGAGCGCCGCAGGCGGTGCTGCCGGAAGCCCCTCCCACTGGCTGCTGGGTTTGTGGCTGGCTGGCTGAAGCTGTCACTCCTGAGCCGTTTCCCTGAGGCCGGTGTGCTGCAGGGGAGGGGTGTGGGAGGAAGAAGAGCTTGACTAGCCGTCGCTGTTGCCGCTGCGTTCTTCGCGACTGCTATGACCCTCGGGCGAGGCTCCCTGCTCAGCTCCGCGCCACGCTAGTTTGCGGCCTTGCGCCCGCCGTAGCCGCCTGGGCACCCAGGGCGGCCGCTCCCGCGGCTCCTTAGAGCTCCTCTAGCGCCGCCGGCTAGGCGAGGCAGAGGCAGGATGAAGATGACGGTAGATTTCGAGGAGTGTCTGAAAGACTCGCCCCGCTTCAGGTAACTGGCGCGGCAGCCCGGCGCTGGGCCAACGTTACCCCGGAACTGCCTCCCCCGAAGGTGGGGGGCGTGAAAGCCGACCGGCGGAATGCGCGGAGGGCCCCGCAGCCCTCTCCTTCTGACGGGGTGAGCGGCAGTTTTCTCCGCTCTTGACCCGGCGAGGGCACTGCAGCCCCGAACGACTCTCCCTGAGCTGCGAGGCTAGCCGGGAAAGGGGGACGTTGCCTCCTCATCCTTCTTTCTAGTCCTCTGACCGGGGTGAAGCAACCCGGAGGGGCCGGGCGCACCCGCTGTGCTCCGAGGACTGGGGTGCAGCCGCGTCACTGAAGACTCGTGCCCTTTTCTGGCGCGCGCTGTCGTCCCTTGCCTCTTGCAACTATCCTTTCCGCCTCCTTCCGCTTCTCCGTTTATTACCCCCCCCCCCCCCCTTTAAGGGAGCTTTCAGGGCACCCTTTTGCAGTTCACTTAGTTCCTCTTTGCGCTTTTCCGCTCCCATTAACCCTTGGAGGAAGTAGTGGGGAGCGGCGAACTGGGACGTCGACTTCTGTTGCTTGCGTTTCCCTTGCCAGAGGGGCTCTCAGGAAGGTGCTGGGGGTGGAATCCCTTTAACCAACCACACATTCTGTCGATTCGGGTCCGAAACTATCTGCTTTACTTTCCACTTAAGCTTTTTGAAGTGGGCATCGCATTCGAGAGGTATTGGGTTGAGGGGTGAGAAGTAGGAGAAACAGTGCTTTTCTGTTTTGAGAACGGAAGTAGGAGGGCCCTAAAGATTGCACTTACGTTCCTCTTCCAGCAGCGTAAGTCCGGGAAGGCCCGGACATCAGAGCTGGATGCTCCCAACGCATCAGTCACAAAAATTGACGTGGTCGGATTCTCATGGGCTTCTCTTCCTCCCGTGCAAGAGGCGGCAGTCCTGAGGGTTCCAGAGTACATGCTCTTTCTTTTTCGGGTATCGTAGGAAATTCTTCAATTGTTTTGGAAAATGGAGTTTTGCTATGATGTATTTTATGGTGCATTTACAGGACTAGGTCTGTCCTGAGGCCTTTAAAAAAGGGGGGGGGGCTTAAAACTTCTATTAGATAGTGACATTTCTTGAAAGCTTCCCCAGAACATTAAGGGAGGGGGTAGTATGTGTGTGATCTCTAGGCCAACCCTAGAAAGTGTTTTGAACTCTTTCATCTTCCTGGGAGCTAACTGTTCTCATCCTTATCACTGTTAATTAGACTTCCCATCTTTTTTTTTTTTTTTTCCTTTCAGTGAAAAGCAAACTGTTATAAATCTAAGGAACTTCTATTTCTAAGAGAAAATTTAAGAACACTTTCTGGTTTTGACCGTTTATTTTTGATTTGTGCGTAATTTTATTTAGAGCTTAGGGCTGTTGCCTGTAAAAAGCTGCACCTGGTTTGATTGCTGCTGTTAGGGTTTTTGAAACTTCCATGTTCTGTGTGAATTGAAGGTCTCAGGAGACACAGATGGCTTGTGTAGGACAGCTTTACTAGTTAGATTCCAGTACCGTGTGGCAAATGAGGTAATTTTTAAACTGCACCTTATAAAATTATGCTTTTGTGAAGCTTTTATGAATGAGTCAGCTCTTTGTTTATTTTTTACTGCAATAATCACAGCATTTTTCTCCTAGAGAACATATATGGCTTTGTGCTCAGTTTCTTCCACATTTTAAATTTGATTAAAAAAAAAAAAGTTGAGAGAAGTGACAAAGCTTTAGCCACTGGTGGTCAAAACCATGTAATATCTTTGTTTTTGAAATAAAGGAAGTATTGAATATAAAGTAAGAGAAAGATACTGATTAAGTTGTATGGAATATTATAATGAAGTGTTACTAGATTTGAATAATATCCTACTTTAATTAAGATATTAGAGATTTTCAAGAGTTGTTTCTAGAATACCAATTACTGTTGGCTGCAATTTGGAAGAAAAACCAAGATTCAAAGAACTCCAATGTCTTTTAAATATTTTTGGAACTAGTTTGGATATACGATAGAGGGAAGAATACCAAGAAATAAAAGTTCTCATAACTTACATTCCTAGCTTTTATCGTTTTTCTATAATCCCATTACCAAGTAGGTTTCTGTAGAAGTTGAAAAGACTATTTCAGGAGTCATTTTATTCGTACACTTTATGTGTAAAAGAAACTTTGAAGAGTATTTTGCATTTTTATGAGTGATACGGTAAAACTTTCATATCAAAACAAGATTTGTGAGGGCTGGGCTTCATTTTGATAGCAAGGCAGCTACCTTACTTACTTATTCATTGTAGTTTCCTGATCTGTTATGCTGCTTTTAAGTTAATACCTATTTTTATTTTAATTCATAAATGAATCTTGTGGCATTTAAGTTTGGCATGTGGATATAACTGCGTTGGGTGCTGTGAAACTAATGCAAAAGGCAAATCTTGCTGAAGAAAAATTTGAAATTTGAAAATTTTCCTGTTAAATTGATAAGGGAAGCCTGAGGAGGACTGGATAAGGGGAGAAGGATCTTGCAATTTGCAGCATTGTCTTTAGTCATTTGAATGAAACCAGTGGTTACTTTTGCATGCCAATTAACATTTTTACCTCTTTAGATGGGAAGACACATTGTGTAATTTTGGGTTGCCTTTTTAGTTTTTTAAAAAGCCCTTCTAAAGATTGAAATTTTGTTCATCTAACAATCTGCAAGAATGTACATGTGTCTAAATGTACTTTTTTAAGGTGGAAATTTTCCATTTTAACAAACATTTGATGTTTGAAATTGTTTGGGCTATAATTGTATGTAGAATTGTTTTTTAAAATTTTGTAAAATGTTAATAAAAGTGTACTTTTTCTTTATGTAATCATGGTTCACTAGTAAGTGAACATTTTGCTTGAAACAAAGTTGGATTAATCGGTGCTTTAATGAAAGATTTTTGGTCTAAACAATACTCAGAAATATTGGCATTAGCACCCTTCAAACACTTCAGTCTTTATCTGATACATTTTTTTTTTTCTTGACAGTGTTTATGGTACACCATTCTGAAGGTATTTTTGTGTGCAGATTCTATTTCAGATATGGTCCTTGTTCAATAAAAAAACCTAAAAAGGTGTTTTGGTCCAAAAGTTCTTAATGGGTGAAAGTATTGGAATAAAATGTAAACAGTATTTTTAGTTATGTTTTGCTGTTAAGCTGGTGCTGATTCTGGTTGCTTTGCCACTGTACCTTTCATCTTTAGAACAGATGCACTCTTAGCAACTGGCACTTTATACATGGAATATATATAGTGGGTAAGGGATGAGGAGAAATATGTTTTCATCTCAGAAGTGGTAGAATTGAATTATAAAGTACTGGGTTGGCCAAAAGTTTTAGTTTTTTTGCATGTGAGGGCTCTAGTGGCCCTTAGCTATCTTTAACATCATTTGAAACAATTTTGTTAGATTGTATTTTGACAGCTGTCATATTAGTATGCATTAAAAAAAAACTTACCAAAACTGGTGAATTTTTGTGCAGCTGTTTTATAATATTGAAGATGAGAGAAAATATGCAGCATTTTTGGCATATTATGCTTTAGTATTTCAAGAAAGGTAAAAATGCAACTGAAACGCAAAAAAAAAAAAAAATTTGTGCAGTGTATGAGAAGGTGTTGTGACTGATTGAACGTGTCAAAAGTGGTTAGCAAAATTTCTTGGTACTATTGACATTTGGCCAAATTATTCTTTGCTGTGGGCTGTCTTATGCATTGGTGGATGTTTAGCAGCACCCCTGACTTCTACCCACTAGAAGCCAATAGCGGGAGATAGCCGATGTGCTCATAATATCCAAATCAATAAAGTTATTGGTGAAAATGAAAAATTTATCTTTTATTTTACAGAAAAAATGTAACAGACTTTTTGGCCAACCTAATAGTTTTTATCATGAATCAAAATGTAGGAATCCTGCTATCATTCCTCACTGTAGCTTCTAATTCTTCCTTTATAATGTAGTACCAACCTAAGTTGAAATAAGGAAGAACAAGTCTTTATAATGTGCCAGACCTTATACTGGATACTTTTATAGTTACTCTCTCATTTAATGTTAAAATATACAGTACCACGAGGTAGGAATTACTATCCTCATTTTTAGAATGTTTTATTTTGGTTCCATGTAAATTTCTGGAGTACTTGTTCTATATCTGTGAAATATGTCATTGGTATTTTAATAGGGATTGCATTGAATCTATAAATTGCTTTGGGTAGAATGGATATCTTAATAATGTTAATTCTTCCAGTCCATGAACAAGGTACGTTTCCATTTATTTCTATCTTCCTCAGTTTCTTTCTTCAGTGTTCTATAGTTTTCTGAGTATATGTCTTTTACCTCCTTGGTTAAATTTATTCCTAGGTATGTTATTTTTCTTGATGCTATAGTAAGTGGGCTTTTTTTCCTAGTTTCTCCGTTTGATAGTTTATTGTTGGTGTAGAGAAATGCCATCAATTTCTGAATACTGACTTTGTATTCTGCTGCTTTGCCTATTCACTTATTGGGTCCAGTAGTTTTTTGATGGAGACTATAGGGTTTTCTATGTACACTGTCATGACATCTGCAAGTAATGACAGTTTGACTTCCACCTTTCCAATTTGGATACCTTTTATTTATTTCTCTTGTCTGATCACTATGGCTGGAAACTCCAGTACTATGTTGAATAGAAGTGGTGAGAGTAGACATCCTTCTCTTGTTCCTGATCTTAAGGGAAAAGCTTTTAGGTTTTGTCCATTGAGTATGATGCTGGCAGTAGATTTCTTGTACATAGCCTTTATTAAGTTGAGGTATGCCCCCTCTATTTCCACTTTGCTGAGTGTTTTTTATCATAAATGGGTGGTGGATTTCATCAAATGCTTTCTCTGCATCTATTGATATGATCATGTGGAGAAATCTAATGAGCAAAATAGAACCAGAGACATGGAAACATGGAACAGACTGACATTGCCTGGGGTGGGTAGGGGGAGGGGGATAATGGTGGAAAGAAGGAGAAGGGATTAATCAGAGAAC